TTTTTAAATATAAGCTACACAAATAAAAATGCAACATAAATATTAATATACGTTGTTAATAACCATATTTAGATGTGAATAAGGTATTCAGTTATGAATATTTTAACCGTAAATTTATCTAAATAAATTATCGACAATACAAGGTAGTATAAGTTGTCAATAATCATAGTCTAACTCCATATGTGAAAAAAGTAACATAAAAAAATAAAAAAAACGAGAACTTCAAAAAACCTATTTTTATTTAATGAAAACTCATTTTGACAGGATAAAAAATAATACACAGGTTTGTAAAGATTACGAAAATTAGAAATGAACTTTCATAAACCTAGATTCTTCATTTTAGTTTTATTCATATTTAAATATAGTCATCTACAACCTATACGTTGCAACCGTAACTCAAGACTATAAACTATACGTTGGAAACAATTATATTTGGTTGAAAAAATGTCTAAAAAAATGTTTTAATGACGCAATGTTAAATAAAACTAATTAAGTATTATGTATAAAAATGTAACGTTTCTCAAGAATAAAGTTTTTCGATTTTTTTTTGTTGAAAGTAGTGCAAAATTTTTATGTTTTGTTTAAATATCAACCCACTATAAATTTTTCTTTTACAAAGACTATAATCTAAGAATTACAACTACATACATAACTACATTTTATAACATTTTTTTCGAAAAAAATCTTCGTATAAATTGCCTTTTTGCCAAAAAAACTCAAAAACTAAACAAGATTTTATTCTCAAGACACGATCACGTTTTTTAAAGCACTTTAATTTTTTATTATTTATTATCTGAAGACAAATGTTTAAAAATCCACTTGATTCCATACTTTTTTTGATCACCTTGTATAAACAACATTTCAGTTTTAATACAACTTTAATTACAATTAACTACACTATTAAAAAACGTATTAAAACGTTCCAAAAACGTTAATTAAGAAATAAACTTCTTTTATTGTTTAAATATAAAAATTCAACCATTTTTTTTCTTAAAACAACCTGTAGAAAACACCCAAAAACTCATTTCAGAAAAATATTTCCATGCATTGTATTAAAAAAGAGACGAAAAAAGACGTTATTTGTTGAAGTCAGGTCAGGTCAAATGATAATTAAAAAATCAAATGTGGCGAAAACATAAAAGGATACTCTTAAATTATTATTCAATTAAATAAAAATTAATGATTAATGAAAGTGACATTAAAAAATTTGAAATATAAAATTGAAAATTCCTCAAGTTTCACTATCTTTGCATTGTTAATTTATAATTCTTTAGGTTTAGATCTCTTAATACTCGCCAAGGCGATTAATTTTTTGTCCTGCATTTGTTATTAACAACTTTTGATAATTAAACAAAACCCAAACCGGTTTTTTAGAATCTCAACTATTTAAAATTAAAATTGAATAATAATTATGCGATTGAGTTGCCTCAAAAACGTTTTATTTACATTAATTTTTTATTTTTGAAAATGTAACACTTGGAAAAAAAAGGTCGTGGATCAATAGCCACGTCATGCGATTTACTCACCACACAGATCCACTTCCCCTGCGTCCTGCGACAGTTCTCCAAATTGGCCGTCGTCGGGGGGCTATTATTGCGCGACCTTGCCAGACTCTGCGCCAGATCAGAATGCTGCGACGAGATCTTGAGGGGCTGTATATGCTCGTGCAAGTTATTGGCGGAGACTTGCTGCGGGGCCCCGCACTGCTGACAAATCTGCTCCCGCGACGGATTGGGAAAAGTGCACGCCTCGCAGGTCCATTTCCGCTTCGCGGGCCCCGCAGCCGTCAGTTTCTCGTCGCTGCCGTGCAATCGGTAGATGTCCTCGCTGACGAAGGGCTTGGGGCCCCGACACATGGTGCACTTGATGGACGACGGGTAGTTCTCGTATGTACAGTATTCACAAGCCCATTTCGCATCGCTTTCGCTCATTTTAACGGATTTGGCTAACCTGAGTAGACAAACGGTGATTTCAGGGCTATGTCATGAGTTTAGCATAGTTGTGAGGGGGCGGACGGGGCTATTTCCGGGGCTCCATCGTCGGGGTGATCACCTGAAACAGGGCGGGTTAGGGGGGCTAAATCAAGCTGCGAGGGGACTAACACGGTGATAAGGACAAGGCCGGAGGTGGAAAAAGTGACGCTTTTTTCCAAATCACGCGTTATCACTTAGTTCTCTCTCACCTTCAACAACAGGGTCAAAGAAATGGTTTTGGAGTGAAGGCACAGTGATTTATGTCTAGTGTAGATCGGAAAACAAATAATTTAGATACCATTTGTATATTAATCGATAAGCCTGATGTCAAATCAATCGGAATTTTACAAAAAACGTCAAAATATTGCTATTTTGACAATCTTCATCACCTGTCCACTTCGTCCATTATCGACTAAAACAGCAAACTGCGTTATCGACACACACAAGTGTCAATTTACCACAACATTGCCAGATTTACCGATCCATTTCCCAACAAATTAGACACTAAAATAAGACCCAAAAACACTCCTAAACCACCATTACCACCAATAAAGTTATCACCACAAAAAACACAATTTTAATCACTTTATTAATAAAAATACTCTCGAGTCGCGTCCGGCAACACAGCTCACCTGTCATTAGTGTCAAAACATAACCTAAGAAAAACACGTGATGAAGCCCCGCAAACAGGCCGATAAAAGGCCCCCCAACCCGTTTGAAATCCACATAAACAAGCAAAAAATGACGGTTTTGGGTCAAAAAACCAAGAACGACCGCGGACTCCCTGGGGTTTCACGCGCCAAAGCTTTGAAAAAACGCAAAGAGACTCTCCTTCAGGAATACAAGCTCCAAAACAAATCGAACAAGTTTACGGACCGGAGGATCGGTGAGCGTAACCATACCTTGACCTCCGAGGACAAAGTTATGGCCCGATTTGCGGCAATTCGGAAAAAAGCCCACAAAAAATCGATTTTTAACCTCGCCGATGACGAGGTCTTGACCCACAAGGGGCAAACTTTGGCCGAAATTGAGAAATTTGACGACCCGAGGTCGGACAACGAAGACTCCGATGAGGACAAGTCCGGGAAGCTTGACTCAGCGTTTGTTGAGGATGCCCACTTCGGGGGCGGCGTCTTGAGGAAAACCGGGAAAGAGGGGGCGAAGACGCACAAGGAACTGATCGATGAGTTGATAGCCGAGTCGAAGAAACGCAAAGCTGAGAAGCAAAGGACCAAGGAGGCGACGCTTGAGCTCACTGAGAAGCTTGATACTGAGTGGAAGGATTTGTTGCCTTTGGTGAGCAAGACTCAGAAGGGGGAGACTGAGAAGGGGGCGCTCGACGACTACGATAAAGTCATGCGCGAGCTGAGGTTTGAGGCCCGCGGGACGGTTTCCGACAGGTTGAAATCCGAGGAGGAGCTTGCTCAGGAGGAGAAACTCAGACTTGAGGAGTTGGAGGAGGAGAGACGGGAGAGGATGAGGGGGTTCGAAGCAAAGACTCAGAAGCACAGAAGTGCCGATGATTTGGATGATGAGGTGTATGAGGCCGATCCTGAGTACATGCTCAGTTATAACAAGGAGGGGGAGGCTAATGTGGAAATTGGAGCTGAAATAGATGGGAAAACTGTTGGTGACGAATCAAGTGAAGAGGAAGAAAGTGAAGAAGAGGAGGAGGAAGACGATTTGGCTGATCTTAAGGCCGAAAGCAGCGACGAAAGTGACGAAGAAGTGACTGAAACCCTGAAAAAGTCTGATGATGGGGGCAAAATTGACGAAACGTGTGAATTGCCGTTCACTTTCGTACTCCCTGACTCCTACGAGGCCCTCCAACAACTCCTTGAAGATAAATCGAGTCTTCAACAGGCCACAATTCTTGAAAGAATGATCAAATGCAACCATCCAAGTCTTTCAGAGAAAAATAAAGACGGTTTAGGGACACTTTTTGTTTATTTATTGCAATATTTCAACGATTGTGCGTCTGAAAAAACCGCAGCTCGTTTATTCGAAATTTATAAAAGTTTGGCCCCCCATATTTTTGATTTGGCCCAATTGAATAAGGAAAACACCCACAATTCGATGCTTGAAGTAATTAAGGAAAAACACGAGGAATTTAAAAAACAACCAAAGGATTATCCCGGTTTGGAGTTGTTGATTTTTTTTAAGTTGGTCAGTTTGTTGTTCACGACGTCTGATTTTCGGCATCAAGTTGTTACGCCGTGTTTTGTTTTTATTGAGCAAATTTTGAACAAGTGTAAAATCAAAAGTGGCAAAGATGTCGCTTATGGGATTTTTCTAGTGACTTTAGTGTTAGAGGTGAGTTGCTTGGGTTGGTAAGACTGTGTGTAAATCACCGATTTTTAGTATACTTCGTTATCGAAGCGGTTTTTGCCGGCTGCGATTAACTATCTCGGGGGGATTCTCCACATGGCGATCCCCAAATTTGGGGTTAAATTGATCAAAGTCAATCCGCCCTTCAAACCCACAACAAGTTCCCTTGTACTTGTTAATAACTGTACACAAGATGGTGATTTTAAAATGGAAGCTTCTGATTTAGAAAGGGATGAAATCGACGATTCGTTCAAAATCAGGGCTGTTTTTACAGTTTTAAGATTAGTACAAGATTTTGACCTTAATCTAATTTCTCTACCGTCAAATGTTGAACTTTTTAACGATATTCGAGTGTATTTGGAATTACTCCCGACCCGGAATTACCCGGAAAAAGTCGGGAATTTATGCGAAAGTGTTTCACAACAACTGAAAAAACGCACAGTTGAGCGAAAATTAGAACACCTTGTCATGGCTGCAAAAAGGCCAAAAGCGTTGCGATTATATGAACCCAAAATTGTCGAAGTGTAAGTATTAAAAAAAAAAGTCTGTTTATTACTGACGTTTTTCTAGATTTGATGGTAAAAAACGTAAAATTCAATCAAGGGAAAAAGCCGAGCGTGAAAAATTGTTGCATAAGCTTAAGAAAGAAACGAAAGGGGCTTTACGTGAAATTCGGAGAGATAAGGCCTTTTTGGGACGGGTTAAAATTCACCAACGAATTCAAAGGTGAGGAAATATATTTTTCTTCATTTATGTGTAATTACTTTTTGTAGTGATAATGAGCGGAAGGAGAAAGTTAAACGAATTTATGCTGAAGCTTCGATCCAGCAGAGCGAATTGAATAGTTTGGAGAGAAAAAAGAAACGAAAATGAGGGCCCCTGGCCCCCCTTAAAGTATTGTAAATAGTTTTTTGTGCATTTTTTTTATCACAATGTGCATTATGTTTTATAAATAAAACGGTGGACTTAAAACGAGTTTTATTTCATTATAATTAAGAAAAAAATAAATAATCCCTCATCCCAACGAAGAAAAGTGAGGTTATGTTTATCTCAACAAACAATAAATAAAATTATTTTGACCTAAAATAATCCACCAAGATAAAAGTTAAAACGAATTATTGTCTTAAATGCCTTGATAGTGGCCTCAAAACGGCCGATCAACCCCCTTTTAGTGCTTTTCGGTATCATAATTTGGCAAGCCTGTCCCACTTTTCCAGTTAAAAAAATCTCCAAAGTAAAAAAGTGAAGTCATGCTTATCACAACAATCAATAAATAAAATAATTTGAGTCTGAAATTCTCCACCAAGCCATAAACTCATAAACAAAAACGAATAATTGCCCTAAAACGGCTTTTCACCTCTCTTTTAGTGTCTTTCGCTGTCACAATTTGGCACGCCTGTTTTGACACTTTTTGACACTTGTTAAATTTTCGTATTTTGGAAATCAAATCCCCATCATGCCTCTTCCCATATAGGCTTTTATGGAGCCCCACGAGTCTTTCGAAAGCGCAATCGACGCCCCGCCCCCCATCCAACTCAAACCGCGCGACTCCCGAAAATGCTGTTGGGTCTGCTTCGCCACGGAAGAAGAGGACTTGGACGCCCTGTGGGTGCAACCGTGCAAATGCCGCGGTACCACCAAATGGGTACGTGCCCCCCAGCCCCCAAAACGTCTCTAACCCCTTTTTCAGGTGCACCAGTCGTGTCTCAAACGCTGGGTGGATGAGAAGGAGAAGTCGGGACATGGGGGCAAAGTGGTGTGTCCCCAGTGCCAGACCGAGTACATCATAGTCTTCCCTAACATGGGGCTGTTTGTTCTGTTACTAGACACAGTCGATGGGATTATTTTCCGGGGGTCGTTGTTCCTCGCAGCGGGGATAGCCGCCAGTGCGATTTACTGGACGGGGGTCACGTATGGGGCTATAACTGTGATGCAGGTGCCCCGCTTGGACCCCTGCCGGTCAAGCGTCGCTAATTTGGGGCTGTTGTAGGTCATAGGGCACAAGGAAGGGATAGATTTGATGGAACAAGCTGACCCTCTTGTGCTCCTTTTGGGGCTCCCCTCGATCCCAGTCGCCCTGATTTTGGGGCGCTTGGTCTGTTGGGAAGACGCCGTTTTGAAGTTTATGAGACGGCATTGCCCCAAAATCCCCATAATTCACAATGTACTGCCGTTCAGGTGGGTGTTTTCCAGTGGTGGTAGAAAAAATTACGTATGGTTTTAGGGGTGATGTCCTCCAAAGTGATACAACGGTCGATAGTGACTTGCCCCCAGTCAGTAGTCCTGTCTCAGCGACGCGAATTTTATGTGGGGCGCTGCTCATGCCTACGATAGCGAATTTATTCGGAAAATTGTTTTATAGTTCAGTTAAATCGAATTTTCACAGAACGATTTTAGGTGGATTTACTTTTATCACAGTTAAGGGGTTTTTAAGGATTTATCATAAACAACAACAGTACATTCGGCAATGCCAACGCAAGATTTTAGACTACACTGAAGCCAATATTTCTACTTACTTACACCATAATAGAAATTCTGATTAAATAATCTAGAAACTTAATTAGGACAAATATTTTTTTAGATTAATTGCATTATTAGTTAATTGCATTCCTTGTTTATTTAACTTAATGGAAAACAAACATTTTACAAGTGCCCTCGACTTGGGATTTATTAAAAAGCAATTCTGTTAAATAAAACGTTTTTTAGACAAATTTTAAACTTAATCAACTGTTATCACAAACGTGGAATAACTGGCAAGTCCTAAGCTAGACCGACTAGATAACAACAAGACATGAGAAAGGGGGCCCGCTAGGACAAGTCCGGCCCTGTGTAGGGGAAAGAATCAGTCCAGTACCAACTCGGCGAGGTGATTTCCTGCATCCTGAACACACTGGGGGCCACCTCGCGCAAGACCCTAAAATAGGAGCATTTCCGCACCCCATTTCCCGGTATCACAGTCTCGTAGGGGGGCGCCAGAATGTCAATGAACGCAGCAGGCCCCCCTACACTCTCAATTTCGTGCAAATTCCGCACTTCAGGCTCCAGTACACAACAGCCACTGTGAATGTCTAGAAAATTCTCGGCGCACCTCTCCGCTGTGAGGAATTTCGCCACTTGGGGGGCTTTCCCGTCCACTTGGCGCGTCTTCTCGGTGTTTAGCGAGTAACTGGTGACTTTGAGTTTGCCCCCGACGACTTTAATGAGCCCGTGCATGTGGGGGTGGTTGTGCAAGGGCAGTTTCATGCCGGGTTTGAGGATGAAAATCCCGATTGTGAGGTTGTAGTCCTCGTAGATGTCGATGTAAGTCACCGGGGCTTTGTTGGGGCGTTGCCACAAGTCCTCCGTCATGAATTGGGGGTGCAGGTTGACGTCTTCGGCCGTGGTTTTGTCCAAAAGGGCTTTGAGGATCTCCATGTTTTGGAAGAACATCTCTTTGTTGGTGAATGTGGTGACTGCTTGCTTTAAAACAGTGCCGATTTGACTCGTTAACATTTTTATCAGCATCAGGTGAAAGGGGGCACAGGCTGGACGGCTTTGAACAGAGAAAACTGGAAGTAAACACGAGGGGTTATCGATTGATTGGAAATTCAAAATGACAGATGTCAGCTGGAACGCACACTAAACGCAGGATGCGATCCGTCAAATATTTATTAAATATTTAATTTTATAAATATTAAACAAAAAACTAAAACGAAACACACCAACGTATAAAATTGGTTTAAACCCATACATTACACATATTTTCCTAATTTTATTTCCTTTAATTAATATTTGTTAAATATACCAACTTCTAATCCCAAAACTTACTATAATGACACTATACAACTTTAAATCAAATTTATTGGTTTTTAAAAATTCAAAGCTGTAGTAATTGAAATTAAATTATGTTTTAATCTTGAAAAATAAAATATTTATTATTTATTTACAAAAATAAAAAATAAATTTTTTTTGTTGACAACCGTGACGTTTCTAATGTCACAATTTTGCCGCTAAATGTCAAATTCAAATTTTCAGGAATTTCATCCCCCATGTAGCCCTTCGGGTCCTAGCTGCGATACAAATAACTATTTTAACGTTTTAAGATCCGATTTTGTTTGATTTTGCGCCGCTTGTTGCCCCAAATTCCCCGAACCTTGCACCGCCTTGTCTATTTATAGCCCCTCAGTCTGCGATGAATCTAGCCCAGTCCATTTACACTTTCCTCCCCACGTCTTCGTCTCCCCCTAAAACCTTCCCCGATTTGGGGCGGCCCACCAAACGCGGTATCAAAAAGTGCCCCAAATGCGGCATCTACAACGGCACTCGGGGCATGATCTGCAAGAACAAGCACTGCGACGCTGTCTTCAAAGACTACGCCGACAAACGCAAACAAAGTCTGGACGCCGTGCGTCTTGTGGGGATTGTGCGCCAGGTGTATTCGGTGCGGGTGCGAGACAGGGGGCCCGACCACCGGGGCTTCGTCCAGCTCCCGCTTCTCAATGCCGAGCAGGACGAGAGTGTGCTCTCGGAGAACGCGCTGTGTTTTGTTGATTCGTGTCAGAGGCTTTTCGATGATTCGATTTTGAAGTGTCACGAGTTGGAGCAGAGTGAGACTTCGCTGCTTTGCGTCCACATCGATGCGGCGATTAGGAGTCAGAGTATGGCAGCCCCCATTGAGTTCAAGAAAGAGGTTTTGGCCTCGTTGAAAGTCTCGAAGGAAATCAAAGCGAAACTGTGGCAATTGGCGACGGAGAAAGAGGGGCCGCTGGTGCAGAGAGTCTCGCGGACTGTGATGGCGGTCAAGTGTCAAGTGAGCCCCAAGCACCCTCTAGGGTACCTCCACTTTACGTTTGGGTGCACGAAAGGGAGGGAAATTTACGACAAGTATTACTGCAGTTGCACCGAATTTATGGGTACTTTCCCGACTTGAGGGAACGTTTCGGTCATTTTTGAACCAGTTTCAGGGATTATCAGCAAGTCGAGCAACGTTCGACTCAAGTGTATACACTATTATGCGTGCATTTGTGCCCTTGCGAGTGACCCCACATGTGCGCAAGAATTCATACATTTTACTAATTACGAATTGGCAAAAGAGGGGGCTGAGGGGCCCCAAGTCAGTGAAAGTGTCACAAAAACCACGTCAAAACCGGCTTTGAACCCCACTGACAGAACAGCAAGACTGAAGGTGGTCGAGAGAGTGACGAAACGTCCGAAATTCAAAAAACTGGTGCCTAATGTGTTTCCAGTGGAAATCAAAGTGTTGGAAAGTATGGAAAAAGTCACTCAAAGTGGGGAAATTTCCTGGAAATTTATCGAATGGTTGTCGTATGTGACTGAATCCATAAACCAAACGATGCAATTCGAGAATTATGGCAATTTAAACACTTTGATTTTTTGCGTGCCTGAGGTTTGGTCATTTCAAAATTTCAATTTTCTTGCTAAATATTTTTTTCAGAAGTTTTTTCAAGAGTTTAAAAAGCGGATTCCAAGTCTCTACCGAGAGAATGAAGTTTTTTCAGTTTTTAATTACCGAATTATGAATATTTTGCACCTGAAAGAGATATTTGACACCCCTGATGTGAGTATCATTTTGTTTATATCCACAGTTGGCTAAATAAAAAGGTTTTAGGTGAAGTTAAAAATTTCCAAGAGATTTATTCATGATAATCAAAAGGGTTACATAGAACATGAAGTTGATGCAAATATTAGTTGTCAATCTAGTTTCATTTTTTTTCTTAATGTTGGACAAACAACTGTTGACGAAAGTGACAATACGGACAATCCGTTTGTGATTGAGTGGATTCCCGGAGTTGCCAACGTTACAAAAATTGGACAGTTGAAGTTGCAGTATAAGTATGGACGGAAAAGTACTACTTGAAAAATAAAAACACTTAAAATACCGAAAAAAGATTTTTATTTAAAACCAGATTGGTGTTAACTTGTTTTTACTTTTTTTTATTTTGTTTTGTAAATTGCGGGAAAACTGTATTTCAATAATATAATATTTTGATGTAGACATGTGTAAAATGTTCCGGGGAATCGATTGGCGTCAAGAAAACTGCGAAATTCGTAAAAGTTTTGAAGTTATAAGCAGATTCATATTTTTGATATTTTTGACTTTATCGGAAAATTTTTTGATAACTATTTATCGTAGAGCACTGATCTTTTTTATATAGGATAGAAAATTAAATTTTCTTTCCAACGATACCAAATACAAGAGGTTATCTCCAATAAGTCCGGAGTTAATGCCAATAAACCGCTCCGGGTGCCAAAAATCGACCAAAATCTTGACAAAAATCAAAAAAAATTCAATTTTAAAATTGATCCCTTTAACGTTTTTTACATTTCTAGAGGTCTTAAAGACTCAAATAAGTGCATGAAACACCATTGGGTCAAGTTTAAAAAATTTCGAATTTTTTGAATTTTTGAAGATGAGCGGTAGTAAAATCGTAAGAATAGTCAATTTACCTTAAGTTGTAAAAACGCTTGAAATATGGTTTTCTAGACGAAAAATCCCGCGTTGAACACGATGCAACAAGTTAAAATATGCATAGTTTTTGAGATATTGAGTAATAAAATTAAGAATAAGGCTAGATCCGATTTTGACCAAGAAATCAAAAAATTTTTATTCTTATGAAAAACTAGGCTTATATGTTAAATTAACTGTAGAACACGCCTGTACAAACCGTTTTGACTTAGGACTTGAGATATTAATTTTTTATGAAAAAAAACTAAAAATGGCTCTGTACCCGGAGCCATAACCCGGAGCGACTTCCGGTTTGCGCCAATAAATAGATAATTTCAAGCTACTTTTAATGTTTTTTAGCTCTTTGCTCTAAATCTTATAGTTTCGTAGAAAAACGCGTTTAAAGTTTCACAGTTTTGACAATTTTTACTTTTTGAACGGCGATTACGGCCAAACTAGACTTAGAGCAAAACTGTATCTCAATGATATAATATTTTGATGTAGACATATCTAAAATGTTCCGGGGAATCGATTGGCGTCAAAAAGACTGCAAAATTCCTAATAGTTTTGAAGTAAAAAGCGGATTTATATTTTAGATAAAATCGACCAAAATCTCTAAAAAAATCCAAACAAATTTCAACTATAAAATTGATCCATTTTACGTTTTTTACATTTCTAGAGATTTTAAAGACTCAATAAAGTGCATAAAACGTTATTGGGTCAAGTTAAAAGAAATGCGATTTTTTTATCGCAAAAACGCTTGAAACAAAATTTTGAGAAAAATCAAAAATAAAATCAAAACTTCAAAATTCGTCCAAACGCTTTCATGGGTGCATAAAAGTGCACCAAACGTAGTAAAAACGCAAAATGTTTTAAAATAATATTTGTATAAAAACATTAGTTTAGAGCAGAAACACTGGCCGGAGGCGTGGTGGCGCAGTGAGTCTTGCAATGTATAGTTTTCCCAATATTTGCATTAATAATTTTTCAAGCGAATTTTTTAACTACATACTCCAAACTGTGATTGAGCATAAAACTCGATATGTTTATTAATGATTTGATAAAAATAGAATCGACCACAATATTTATTAACAAACCCGTCAACTTTCAATGCGATAACACTATCTAACATCAAATTCACACTCAATCTCTCCACTTACTAAACCAATTAACTCAATTCTGGCGAAGTGGGGACTCTCACGACCTCGTCTCAGTCATCTGAACTCTAACAATGAACAAAGCGTCCCAATGACCGCTCTCGACGATTCCACCCAGGCCTTCGCCCGGCAAACCCTCAACGAGACCCCCGAAGCCCTCGCCGAGGCCCTCGCCGCCCTCCGCCTCTGGATCTCCTCCAACCCCCACCTGCACGTCAACCCCGAGGAGCGCTCCCTCGTGGCCTTCCTCCGCGCCTGCAAGTTCGACCTAGGGCGCACCAAGGCCAAACTCGCCGACTACTACACCATGCGCCGGGACATCCCCGAGTGGTACTCCAACCGCGACCCCTCCCTGCCCCAGATCCAGGCCCTGGCCAAGCTGGGGGTCTTCGTACCCCTCAGGAGACACCACGAGAACCAACTCGTCGTCATCATCCGCACCGCAGCGCACGATCCGCGAGTGCATTGCCAGGATGACGTGTTCAAGGCGGGAAATATGATTCTGGATGTTGCCACAAGAGACGACCATTTGTGCCAAATCTTCGGGATTGTGGCGATTTTTGACATGGAAGGAGTGGGTTTTTGGCATGGGAGGCAGATGACCCCTGGGATTATCAAGAAGGCGGTGAGGTCGTGGCAGAATTATCATTGTAGGCCGAAAAAGTTGGAGTTTGTCAACGCACCGATTTATATTAATGTCATTTTGAGTATTTTTAAAGGGTTTATGAGCGAGAAGTTGAAAGGGAGGGTGAAGGTGCATTATGGGGGGAGGGAGGATGTGCTGAAGATTGTGCCCAAGGAGGTTTTGCCTAAAGAGTATGGGGGAGAGGATGGGAGTTTGGAGGAGGTGATTGGGTATTGGGTGGGGAGGCTGGAGGAGGAGAAGGAGTGGTTTGCCCAGGACGAGAAATTTAAAGCCGAATAGAGGGTTCTGTGGTGCTTTTTAGCTAATTTGATGTATTTATTTCCGATTTTGTAGTTTTGTAATGAAGTATTATTTAATTGTAATAAATAAATAAATTGACGAGTCACCATATCGTATAAGTAAAAAAATCTTTTTGGCGTGTTTCTTTTTCTCTGAAATCGTAATTTTTTAAGTTTAACAAATTTAGAGACGACTTCACCTAGTGAGTCCGGAGAATTACTACTATTTTGGGCTATTTTACAAAATATTTTTTTATTTTACGCACGATTTTTGAAAAACATTTTTTAGATTTTTCAAATTTTGTATTAACTTTGACTTTAGAAAACTTTAAATTTTTATTTCGAGAAAATGCATTCAAATGTTAAAAATACATTTTTAATAATATCATTTTATTTCTTAAATAGATTAGAGGTTTCTGTGGTACTTTTTCACCTAATTTAATGAATTTATTTTCGATTTTGTAGTTTTGCAAGATAATAAAATTAATATTAAATTTTAATGAAAAATTAAACTTGATTTTCTACTTATAACAGTTCTTAAATAATATTAAAATTTTTGAAAATATGTACAAGTCTTTTTAATGGTATATTTGGCAAACTGACTCTAACGTCATCATAAAAATTGTCCACAGGTTACGTTTTATTGTTTTTTCTTTAATTTTAGAATAATTTGCATCTAATGTTTTAAAAATGGAAATTTTTAGTGTGAGAATTATTTTTTGTTTTTTTTTTTTGTAGCGTTTTTAAGTTGGCGATGTCCGCCGTATTCCGAAGGAGTCTCTCGGCAAACCTCGGTACGTTTGAGTTCGCAGTGGCGTAGCCTTCAACACATTTTTTTTTAATTTTACATTTTTATTTTGAAAGAGTATTTACAGACTATTCTTAGCTGCAATCAAATTTTAATTCGCAATTAATTTGATGTTTGAAAAAGTAAAGTAATTGACAACTTAATTCGGATTTGTTTAGTACTGAATTAAATTTTATATCGTCTTTTCTGAATCGATTAATGGTAAATTAAAATTTTAAACAAAAGTAAATTTTGAGTATACGTTTATGTTTGGACGCATCAAGACGCTAGCCTGTAGCCAATCAGATGCTAGCATCTTGACGTCATCAGGTGAATCGTAAAGGGCGCAAAAAATGGTGAAGGTATGGAATTGTGTAATATTCTAATTACTTTGTGACGTAACGAATGGCGGGATTACGCAGTTCTGAACAAAAACCTTTTACAATGAAACTGTTAAAAAATGGGTTTTTGTGGATCCTGCAGTTTTTGAGGGAATTATGACAATAACGAGTCAGTCTTAGCCAAGCTTCCGTACGAATTAATTGAATTGTAATAATTGTCCGAATAAATTACTTATTTCGTGGTTTAGTGCAAAATTTGTAGAAATGGGGGCTGTATTATCAGGCGTGCGTGTTGGGTATTTTCGAGTGCCTAATAGACAATTTTAGTAGTGCACGATTTTAACATTTTGATGATTAGTGAGTGAGAATGGGGGAATGGGGAAGACAATCATGCTATAAGGATCCGGATTAAAGGGTAAGTCAACAATACCTTTTAATTTTTTTAGAAAAATTACATTTAAAATTGTATTTAATATTTTAAGCTGATTTAATAACACATTGAACTGATTTTGTGTTTCTTTATTTTTAGTAGGTCCGTTTAAGAAGCAGAGGCGAATTATTGCTACAAAGGGTAGCAGAAAAAGATGCCATAAAGGTTAGTGCAGTTTACTTTTTATTTTGTTGTTTATCGCAAAGTGAAGTGTGTGAATTTGTGATTTTTGAGTGCAACAGTAGTATTTATTGAGTTATGAATAGAAAATAGTTGTTTTAGATAAAAAGTAGATATTATTTTTCAAATTCTTTTTTAAAATTTGTAAGAGACGAAACCGCTACCAAACAATTTAAAAGTAAACAGTGGCGTAGCCTCAAACACATTTATATTTTGAACAAATTATACGTTTTCATTTTAAACAAAAAGTGGGACGATTTTCGGAGCATTCTTAATTGCAATCAAATTTTAATTCGCGATTAATTTGATGTTTGGCAATGTAAAGTAACTGAACTTAACTTAGTTTGGATTACTTTAGCCTTGAATTAATTTTTACTTCGCTTTTTTTTAAATCGATTAATGGCAAATTAAAATTTGATCTTAACTGAAGATTTTATAAAAGTAAAAGCAACTAATTATGTGACGCCATCAGCATCATTAAATAGACATAAAAAATGTCAAATGTCAATTTTTTTTAACAGATAGAATTTTTTAAATATTTTTCCGTGTTTCTGGTGTTTTATCTTACTTGAAATTTTTCTCTGAGACGAGAGTTCTGTCACACTGTATATTTTGTCAATTTTGGGATTTCAATTGGTGAAATATTAGTCCGAAAATGTACAACTTTACGGACTATTTTGGGTTACTTAGGATTCTTTCTACCTTACGGACAATTTCTAAGAAAATTTTTTTTGAGTTTTTTATGTTTTGAATTATACAATTTTCATGTTAAGAAAACGCATTCAAAATTTTGAAAATAATCTTTTACTTAAATGGTGTTTCTGACCAAACTGTTTTTTACGTTTCATTGTTTTTTTTTTATTTTAATCTAATGTTTCAAATGTAGAAATATTCAGTGTGGGAATTGTTTTCAAGTTTTTTTTATTTGTTGAGTTTTTGTATTGCAATCATTGTAAAAATGACTTTAGTGTTTTACGTTTTCTGTGAAATTGTTTTTTTTTAATAATGTGAAAATATGCACAATACAAAGACTACTTGTCTATGGGTATTTTATCAGTTAAATTACCACCTACTTTACGAATTATTGGATTACTTTAGAAAATACTTTTTTCTTCTTTTTTACGGACGATTTTTGAAAAGAAAAAAATAAATTTTTTAAAATTTTGAATAATTTATTATATTTCTTATTTTGAGAAAATGCATTTAAAATTTTGTAAAATAAATTTTTAAAGGGTGTTTCTGACCAAACTGTTAGACCACAGATTACGTTTCATTTTTTTTATTCTAGAGTAATTCGTATCTAATGTTTTAAAAGTAGAAATTTTCAGTGTGATAATTTTTTTATTTGTTGCATTTTTGAAATGTAATCATTGTAAAAATGGCTTTAGTGTATTACGTTTTCTCTGAAATTGTTTTTTTTTTCAATTAGGTAAAAATATGCACATTTTTCAGAGTTCGACTAGGTATTTTATCAGTTTTAAGGACGATTTCAGTTAGTGACATATAAGTACAGAAAATTACTAATTTACGGATTATTGAGTTACTTTAGGAAGTATTTTTTTTTCTTCTTTACGGACGCTTTCTGAAAAGAAAAATTTAAATTTTTGAAATTTGAGTAGTTATAATTTTTATCATGAGAAAATGTATTCAAAATTTTGTAAATAAGTTTATAACTTTTTTAAATGGCCAAATTATTAGAGTTTATAGTCATCATAAAAAATCGACCACAAATTACCTACGAGTTTAGTTTTTTCTTTCAGTTTCAGAGTAATTGTTTCCTAGTTTTTTATTGTTGCGTTTTTGAGTTGCAATCATTGTGTGTATTTAAATATTTGGGTCAATTGCCCAGTTGCATAAACGCTGCTTCAAAGTAGTATTACATTTGTCCACTTGAGAGCGCTTCACTCGCTTTCCCTTTCGGTCCGGTCAAGGTTGTTGCATTTAGCGCCAAAATTCGCAAATTTTCGTATTGAAAACATCAACTGACCTCCATTTCGCGTCTGTTTATAAACTTCATTACATCACATATTAATGCGAAAATTGTGTAGTCATTAATTTTTTACTCAGCAATGCTATAATACTACTCAGTTTGTCGTTATGTAATGGAAACAGTTGTGTAAGCAAGAAAGTGGACGCGGGGTAGGAATAAAACCACGTTATGCATAATATTTTTTATTAATATCACTAAACAAACAAACATCACAATACCATTAACAATATAAAATTGAGCACTTTGTATTAAAACTTCTAAGAGTCTCTACTGCCAAGGGCGCCGGTATTAAAACTTCTA